CTCCGATTTCGTGTGTGTGTGTGTGTGTGTGTGTGTGTGTGTGTGTGTGTGTGTGTGTGTGTGTGTGTGTGCCTGTCTCATGAAGCATCAATGGACATCTTTATCTGGTCAGCACTCAGGAGTATTAGGGACACCAAAAACAACAAACGTGTATTATTTTTGAATTGTATCGAGACAGAGAGACCCAGACAGACTTCTTTTGAGTGTCTCCCTCGTGGGTTGTTGAGCGGTTGAGTGGGGGCCGCATGTTTACTGAGTAAAACATGTCCTCTGTTTATTGCCCTCGTGTCTTCTCCAGACCAAACTGGCCTTGCAGAAGCAGCTGACCAAGAGCTTGACCACGGGCTTCCTGCCCAACCCCCTTGCACCGCCCACCCTGTGCGCGGTGGCCGCCAACCCGCTGGCGCTGCGCCACCCGATGGGCGCCGCCTCCGCTGCCTTCATACAGACGCCCTTCCTTGGGTCCGCGCTTTTCCGGCCCGCTCCGGGGCCTCTGCGGCCTGCACACGCGCCCATCATTTTCTCCCCGTACTAATGCCCCCCCTCCTTGGTGTCCCCCTTGGTGTCCCCTCTATCTGTGTGACCAAACTATGCAGTCAGCCTGTCTTAAGGAAGAGTGGCGATCCCCCCATCGCGCCTTCTTCCTGTTCCGGTGGTCACCGGTGAGGGAGCGAGGGCCACATTGATAGCCATTAAATGGGATGAAGGGGGGGCTTTACGGCTGTTACCGTGTCGTTTTGTAGACGAGTCTAGCTGTACGTTTAAGATAAGTTCCCTTTACTTGAGCGCTTTTCAAAGCGTGAGACTGAGAAACTCGGCAGCTTGGCAAATACAGAGCAAATGTGAGTCCAATATGGACACATATATTTGAGAGGTGAGAACTTCTAAGAAGGTGAGACAGTTTATGCGAAAAATAAAGATGTTTTTTATGCTAAGCTAACTTCAGCAACACCATCAACACTGTGAGTCACAAGAACTCAAAGTCGACGGAGTCAGAGCTTGGAAAAATTCAAGAAAACATGATTTTTCTTCTTTAAATGTGCTATGCTAACTTTAGCTTTGTCTGGAGACAAAAGTACTCGTGAGGCAAACAATGAGGAAAAAAAAAGAGAAGCTCAATAGGCAAAGAAGAAACTTTTTTTTTACTTTTTGAGAAAGTATCTGAGGTAGTAGGTTGAGAAAAACCAAGAAAATTGATTTCTCTTCAACATCCTAAGCTAACTTCAGCTACAGCTATGTGGAAAAAGTATTGGTGAGGCAGAAGACTTAAAGGTGGGGTGGCAGCTTGAGAGAAAATAAGTATATAAATGAAAGTATAGACTTTATTTCAAATACACAAAATTAACTTTAGCTTTAACTATATGGACAAAAGAATCGGAGTGTATACATACACACACATGTATTTATATATATATATA